AAAATAAAAAATAAAAATTAAATTTCATATAAATATAATATATAAAATTTTTATATAAAAACTAATTCTTAATATTATTATACTCACTTTATTTTTATTTTTCCAAACAAAGTTACATGTTATGGGTATTTAAGAGAGAAGAAGATTTAAATTCAAGTTAAATGAACTCGACTTTTGAGTTCTGGTGATTCGCGCATGTCTTTAAGTACTTAAATTTATTTGTCAGGATTTTAAATCTTATTGACATCTTAAAAATCTCATTTTTTTAAAAATTGAATACAGTTTAAAAGAAAGTTCAAAAAAAAAAAAAAAGAGTCAAGGTAGATGAGAAACCATATGAACAGTAATAACTTATTCTATTCAAAATTTCTTTATTAAAATTAATTTTTTATTAAATAATTTAATGTATATAATTTAAATTATATGATATATACTTTTTTAATAAGATTAATCTATTTTGTGCCCCCGTAAGAAGCATTAATTATGTATAATTGCCACTTTTATCTTAAAAATACTAAAGTTAATTTTTTATTTTAATTATAAATATTATGTATTAAATTTTGACTGATTAATTTTAAATTAAAAGTCATTTTTTAATATAAAATTATACATCTTTTAAAACAATATAATAATTATTTAATAATAACTTCATATCCTATATTTAAAGATATAAATAAACAAAATTATTTTATTTTATTTACACGTTATTATATTCAAATTCCAGAAACTACAGTGAAAGACACAAATCCTTTTTAATATGCCATACTTACTAAAAATAAAAGAATGTACTGGTACATGTAATGTAACAATGTGACAATCAGGACAGTGTTGAAGTCGGCTTGTCAAGTCGCCCTTTTTTTTTAATATTGTTTATTTATAATCACATCATTTCAGAATTCAAACCAAACCCCCTTTCCTCTTTTCACTCCCAAAAAAATGAAAAAAAAAAAAACCTCCATTACTCTCCTCTCTCTTTCTCTTTTCTCCCCCAGTCCCCCACATTTCCTCATTCTATCTTTTTTGGCTGTTTGTCCTGGCACTTGTCTTTCTCTTCTTGTTTTTATAAACTCACTTCGCAGTTCAAAGACCATGTGCTTTTCTTTTGGCTTTCTGAGTGGAACTTAAGAGTAACAAAAGGAGAGAAAGTGATAAAAGAAAGAATCTATTGTTTTGTTTTAGAAGTAGTAGAAGTAGAAGTAGAATCCCCTTTAACCCCTCATTAGCTCCAGCTGTTATCTTTTTCCCCATTTTTCTAGTTTCTAGCAAAGGGGAGAGTGAGAAACTCCTTCATTCCCTCCACTTCTGAAGAAATGACTAAAGAAGAAGACTTTAAGCTCCTCAAGATTCAGGTATTTCTCTTTTTCTTCTTTTTAAGTTCTTTTTATGTTTTGTCTAACCCAGGAAAGGTGAATGCTGATATTTTCCTCTAAAGATTCTTGTTTTTGTTTTTATTGTTTACCTTGTTTCATTTTTTCCCTTTAAAAAAAAAAAATTTCTCTCCGCAGACTTGTGTTCTCAAAGTGAACATACACTGTGATGGGTGTAAGCAGAAAGTGAAGAAACTCCTTCAGAGAATTGAAGGTCCTTACTTTCTACCTTCTTTTTCCTGTAAATGCATTTTTTGTTCTTTTGGGTGATGGTGATTGCTAGTGAACCATTCTGCTTGCTTTCTATACTTTAATCTTCCCCCTAATTAATTTGTTGTTTGGTTGTTGAGAAAAATGTAACAAGAGGAGAGGAAATTAATGACTCTTCGCTCAGAATATTTGCTTACTGTTCGTAATACTTTTGTCCTGTGGATCTGACCTTCCTGTTCATGCGTGCTTTAGATGAAATGAGGACACATTTCAAGAAATTTACGATTTTACATTAATAAATATTGATGATTTTGACTGAACAGCTGATTTTTTCTCTACCGGATGTATGGAACTATAACATTGGTGTTTGGTGTATGTTTAATTTTCCCTTTGTTTTTTCTTCTTGCTTGTTACAGGTGTTTACCAGATAAGTATAGATCCTGAGCTGCAGAAAGTCACAGTTTCGGGAACTGTAGATTCTGCAACTTTGATCAAGAAATTGGCCAGAGCCGGGAAACATTCGGAGCTTTGGTCCCAAAAGTCTAACCAGAACCAGAACCAGAACCAAAAGCAAAAGAATAACTGTATTAAAGATGACAAGAACAACAACAAAGGTCAGAAACAAGGACTGATGAAAGGTCTTGAGGCCTTCAAGAACCAGCAGAAGTTTCATCCTTTCATATCTGAGGAAGATGATGATTATCTTGATGATGAGGAGGATGAAGATGAAGAGGATGAGTTGCATGTGCTCAAAGCAAATGAATTGGGTCAGTTGGGTCAGTTGGGTCTTCTCAGGCAACACATCCTTGATGCAAAAAAAGGTGCTGGAGCTGTGCCTGGTGTAGCTTCCAACAATGGCAAAATGATCAACAATCTTGGGAATCGAAATGCGGGGAAGAAAGTAAACCCAAATCAGAACATGCAAATGAATGTAAATCCAGGTGGAATTGATCAGAAAACTATGGCAGCTCTGAAGATGAACAATGTCCAATTAGGCGGTGGAAACATAAATGCAGCTGAGGGCAAGAGGGGGAATGATATCGGTTCCATTATGGGTCTTGCAGGTTTCCATGGAAATGGTGGTAATGTTCCTAACGCTGCTGTTCTGGGGGGCAATCCCAGTGGTCTTGGAGGCTATCAAGTTCAATCCAGTAATGGGTATCAGGGGTCCTCTGCAGCAAGTTTCCCCACTGGCGGATATGCCACTAGTCAATATCCATCATCCATGCTCATGAACATGAATGGTTACAACCATCCATCAGCAGCAATGATGATGAACATGCAAAACAGGCATGTCATGCAGCAGCAACCCCCCCAGATGATGTATCATAAATCTCCATATATTCCTCCTAGTACCGGCTATTATTACAACTATTACAACCCTCCCCCGTACTCCTACAGTGAGCTACCCAACTATAATGTTCTACCCAACTACAGTGATGAGCAGTCTGCAGCAACACACATGTTCAGTGATGAAAACACAAGCGGCTGTTCCATAATGTAATGATGAATCACTTAAGTGAGAGATAAAGCATGAAGTTTGACGGGGTCTTTCCCTCTCAATTAACAGTTTCCTGCAGTGCCTTGTTTGGAGGGTAGAAGATTATGCTGGAATTGGATGTCTTGAGTGAATCTTATCTGTGTGATGTCTAGTTTGTTAAAATGATGTTTCTCGGTTTCTCCTTTCTTTCTCTGTTGTATTTCACTCCCAATCTAAAGCTTTATCTGCTTGTTTTTTCTCTGTTCCCTGGCCTGACCTGAGAATGTGGTGTGGTGATAATGTGAATCAGAAGAAACAAGTAAAAATATAATCAAAGGAGTGAGATTAGTGATAAGCATGTTAATCTGTTGAAAAATGTATTGTTTTTGAGGAGCGTGAGTTGCGACAGCATGGTCAAAATATGGGGTCATTGTTTATTATAATTCAGAACCAGACAAGGTGACATTGGTTACTGTCTGTGTGCAGAGACATGATGAGACCCTGTTCTGAGTGAGGGTGGGAACAAGTCACGGCTAGGTTGACAATGTTGAACAGAAGTCCCCCTTTTTTTTTAATAGAAATGCATGCTTAAACAGTACTAGTCTGCTTTAAGTTCAGTAATGCGCGCACGTGTCCGCGGATAAGGAGCGGTTCTCTTCTCATGTCATTTTTTTTTTCTTTATAGCTCTTGGCTGCTTAGCTTGTTTCGTTATTGAGATCTATTTTCATTCACAATTAGTCACAACTCTCTGTTAACCTTGGAATGTGATAGGGAGGTGGATATTAACAGTGTTGTCAGGTTAGAGTAAGGATTGGAAGAGTAGTTGGCTGTGTAATATTCTTAACACATGATTGGAAGCAATGGATTTGAGGTAGGTGAAGTAACATTGAGCAAACTGCATACCTGTTTGCTATCAGGACTCCAGCTACCAGTATAAATGCAGCCTGCCCTGAATGGCCATTTTCAAAGGACAACTCTCCCATTTTCTCACCACTCTTCCCATCATACAATATTCCATTGTTATCTGACCATCCCACACTTACGAATTTGCTCCCATCAGGGGAGAATCTGTTGCAATTTACAAAATTTGAAGGTACTCTGCAATCCAATACTAAAAAGAAGAAAATTTATACTGTTCTCCGTAAAATTCATTATGGGTTCCCCAGATGCGGACAGTGTAGGAGACGTCAGCAGAGGCAAAATCCACTCGCCATTGGGAAAGTATCAGACGACGGTAGCAAGGTAACCGTGCTCCCCGTAGAAGGAGACGTGGAGGGGCTTGTCTTGTCAACGTACCGGATCAAAACGGATCTCCCATTGCAGTAGAGAATGGAGTTGGTTTTACATGGTGTTTGGATTGAGGTATTTGGAGCGAAAAGGGAGGAGGGTGTATTAAGGATAGAAAATCACCATCATGAAATTCTAGATTCTCTAGATTAATATTACAATTGTAAATATATTATACAAATATTGTTTTCTAATTAGATTAGATTTAGTCTCTGTAATTCTATATATATTGTACCGCACTGTTCTTGGAAATCAATGAAGAAGTCTTTCTAAGGTACACATCTTTCAAGGTTAATAGGGTGCAGGGACCAGGAAGTCTCCTCCACTTAGCTACATTTATCCGATTATTGGAGAGGAAGCGAGATGGAGGGGCAATAGAGTCCTCTTGCTTTTCTCTTTTTCATCCCTTTAAATCAAAGGGATTGTGGGGATTTAGTTTACAAATATAATATTTTTTTTTAAAAATGAATATCTAAAAATATTTTAATTAATAAAATTTAAATTTATCATTTATAAATAATACAAAAAATAAAAACTTTTACAAATTTTATCATGCTATTGGATCCTTTATATGTAAGGGCCCACAG